GCACCTCTGTCAATTGGTTATGGGCCCAGACAGCGTACCAGACTGCATCCAGGTATAAATTTAAGAATCTATTGAAGAAACTGCTGACCAGAGAGAGAGAGCCAAGTAGTGTGGCTACAGTCTGTGGTAAAAATGGCCAACGAAATGTCTATGGCTGGACTGTGCATAAAAAAGTTGAATGGGGAGAATTATTCAACTTGGCAGCAGAAGGTTCAATTGCTATTACAAAAGGAAGCACTGTGGGACATAGTAGTGACTTAATGAACCATAAAGTAGGACTGTGAAGTATTATGAAGGAGAGATTCAACTAGCTTACCAGCATACAACTCTGCCAGATTTGCATATTCTTACTCCTTCCACATACTTTTCAGTGAAAAACCGAGGTTTTTACCTGGACTGAAATGTGATTTTCCTAATCCACCCAAATCAGAACAGACCTTATTAATTAAACAAAGAAGCTAACATGTTAAAAAAAAAGAACATAAAACCTCAAAAAATGAGCATAGAAATTTTGGGTTTCATTTTCTAATACCTGCCTGGATGACTAAAATATGCAGGTAGTTCATATCTTTACACCAGAAGTGGGGAAATTTTTGTCTTTTGAATATTATGGTCTACAACTTCCAAGAGCCTCCACTTGCAGGGCGAACGGAGCAATACACCAAAACATCTGAAGGACTTGATGAAGACCCAGAGTACCAAACTGCATGTTTGGGTTAGTAATCCAGAGTTCTCCCTTCTGCTCTTGTACCACATTCTATGATGTATCTTCTACACCAGGGATCCCCAAACCTGGGCCTTCGGATGTTCTTGGACTTCAACTCCCAGAAATCCTAGCCAGCAGTGATGGTGGTGAAGGCTTCTGGGAGTTGTAGTCCAAGAACATCTGGAGGCCCAAGGTTGGGGACCACTGTTCTACACAATACAACATACTATAAAATAGCTAATCGTCCCACCTGCTCCTTCCAGTCCTTGATACTAAAAATCGTGACACCTAAAGAGACCAAAAGAGCTAGTGCCTCGAACTGTGCTTCCTCAGTTGTGGCTCCATCCCTCTGGAATAGGCATTCTACATAGGTTCCTCAGGCTCCACTCCACTCAGTTTTCAGTAAGCTAATTAAAACCAAACTGTATAAAGCTGCCTTTTACTAGTATATTAACTAACTGATCTGGGGTGTTCAAATTTGTTTTAAATTTGTTTAATATATTTAAATTCAGGTTTTATCAATTCAGCTAGAGACGGGATTTTTATGGTACAGTGGTGCCTCGCATAACGAGCACACCATTTAACGACGAATCCGCATAGCGATCTATTTTTGCGATCGCTAATGTGATCGCATTGTGATGTTTAGATAGGGAAAACATCGCATTGCGGTGATCGGTAAGCGTTTCGCTTACCGAGCTTCGCATTGCGATGTTTTTAGAACAGCTGATCTGCGGTTCCAAAATGGCCACCGGGTAACCAAAATGGCCACCACAAGCATTTTTGTGCGCTGCCCTCGCTTACCAAGGGGGCGAAAATGGCGGCGCTATAGAGGATCTTCGCTCAATGGTGAGTTTTTGCCCCATAGGAACGCATTAAACGGAGTTTAATGTGTTCCTATGGGGTTTTCCTATCCGTATAGCGATGTTTCCAGATAGCGACGATTAATCCGAAACGGATTAACATCGCTATGGGAGGCACTACTGTATTTATTGCATTTTTTGGTGTTGTTTGTATGTCTGTAATTATGTTCTGATGAGTTGTGAACCGTCCAGAGAGTGTTCTCACTGATGGGGCAGTACAGAAGTTGAATGAATGAATGAATGAATGAATGAATGAATGAATACATACATACGTACGTACGTACGTACGTACGTACGTACGTACATACATACATACATACTGTACCATACTCATAATGTTTGAATTTAGAAGACATATTTTTGCCATTGTAGTTCGTTTATGAAAACAGACAGGCTTTAACTCAAATGTTTCACACACGGCTTCTGGCTATAGTTATATACATCAAAAGAAGCCTCCTAAAGCACAGTGAAAATTGTGTTAAAGTAAATGTGCCTGGGATTACATAAGCCACACCTGAAGATTAAGAAGTTATAAATGCTTTTAATAACAGTTGGTTTAAAAAAAACCCTTGCATTTTACTAATGAGACAGGTTGGAATTATATGGTTGAACTATATCCAAAAAGTATGTAAAGTGGGGGTTTGGCGTATCTTTTATTCTTTTTCTGCCATCCTTTCAGTTCAAATGGCTATTGCAGCCATGGCTGGTCAAACTAAAGATGAAAAATGAAAGAGAAATTTTATAATGTGCTCTTCTGCTGAAAAAGACTTTATTTCTAACAGGGTCTCTATACGAACACAATGAAAATGTCTGAAAATGGAGGGGGGGAGCCTCTACCTTTCTGTTTAACCTTTGTTGCCTAATGAAAGTGCCACCAATCCCCATCAGGCCTTAGTTACATCAATATCATACTTTCACTTCCAGAAGCATTGAACTTTAACTTTTGGTAATATCTGATCATAGCTATTTACTAGATGTTTCTGTTAATTTAGAAGAAATGGAATAAGTACCAGCAAGAAAGAAGAAATAATTGGGTGGATGAGACGGCATACAGTTGGCACTGAAATAAGGGAGGGATGCACAGGTTTTCAACATAGGCTGAATACTGGGCTACCTGGGTGGCAGAAAAACAAAGCCACATTGGGGGAGAGAACATTAGGCTGGTGGAGGATAGAAAGCATCAAAGTAGGGTGAGATCTCCAAATCAAGCAGAACCGGACACATTTGCTAGTGTTTAATAGTTCAATAGCTGCTGGTCTTCCAATCTGTAACACAGACCCACTATGGGCACTTGGAATGCATGCAAAAACGGGTCTCCATATGCACACTGTTAGCTGAATATTACACAATACAGTGCATTAAGTTCCCTTATCTAACTCACCATCTAGGACTGCATGTGCAGGGCACTTTTTAGAAACTAAAATCATAGTCATTATTTGGAAGGAAGAACTTGTCATCTCCTAATAATAAGGAACAGTGGACTTGTTCTGAAAGTACAGGTAGGTCTGTGGTTTTGTTAAAACATATTTCAGCAAAATCTTTCTTCCATGAAGGGCAGTACAACGCTTTTACTAACAAGTAAAATGCTTACAAAATTTCATAAAAATACAACTGACAACTTAATTCTTCCTACATGTCAGCTCCCAAGAATGAAAAAGACAATAACATGGGAATATTAATATTTTATCTTCTAAGAAAATTAAGCCTGTCCACCTGAAGCAGGAATTATTCTCAAAACCAGCTATCCCTGTGTCTTTTGAACCTCTGAGCAAATCTGAAGTTCAGCAGAAAGGTTAAATTAAGATATCTCATTAAGTCTCCTTTCTCTCAAAGGTGCATGAAGAACTATTAATAAATAAAGGTTATCAACACACACACACATACACACACACAAAATTAAGATTATTTATTTATTTATTTTATTTATATCCCGCCTATCTAGTCGGTTAAGACCACAAAATTAAAAACTTTTTAAAAATTATACGGAGAACAAAACCTTGCAGACTTGAATCCTTGTATGATTATTACAGTAGCCAATTCTATACTAAAGAATTCTGTACTCAAGAAAACAAAAGAGTTGCTCAGAATAAAGATAAATGGCTTGCCTGTAATTTATGTATGTCATAATCTGTGTTAATTACTTGTATGATTCAGGAAGCTCTTAAAACTAGAGTTTTGGAAGGTGTCCCTCTCTCTTCCAAACTCAAGGGAGAATTATTCTTTCCATCTTAATCAAGATTCCTTGACCAGCTCCATAAGAGCTGGAATGAACACTAGACTAAGTGGTGCAGATCTGTCCTATAGAATGTCCCCAAAGATAAGGTCTTCCTTTGGTTGAGGAGGTTGTTTGGCTTCTAACTTAAGAGACTTGGCCATTCTGGAGAACATCTGAGCATATGATGAAAAATCCTCAGAAGTTGATGAGGTGTGCCAGTCTCCAGCATCCGACTCTGGTATCCTGCCATCTACAGGAGTTTCTTCAAGATGTTCAGAATATACATCTTCCTCCTGATCTGAAGGCAGAGGTGAAAGTATGTCATCCTGCTCAGAAGGAGGAAGGGATGGAGATGTTTGAGTTTTTTGTGCGTGAGCTGTAATTTTGGCAGGCTGTTGAGTTGTTTGTACAGTGTTCTTATGTTTAGTAGTTTGAGTTGGAAGGGAAGCGCTTGGGTGTTCGTAAGACTTTTTATCAACGTTGTGGTGCCTAGACTTTCTGTAAACCACAATCTCGGTGTCAGGAGATTTTTGACGTCAACGCCTTGGAGGGGAAGCAGATGAGGAGGACGACATCAAGGCATAGACATAGCGGATTTTCTTATGCTTATGATTCCCTTCATAGTCGGAGAGGGAGTCTGATGAGTATTCGTTCTCTCATCATCGACGTTGACAGCATTTTCGGTCCACCGTTACATAGATGGGGTCGTCAGTGGAAGATTTCGATCGACGTCGAGAAGAGCAAGTTCACGACTTCTCAACAAGAATGTTGACGTCGATCAGGAGAGATGTGCTTCCTTTTCGATGTTTTCTTATGGGGTGGGGAATCTCACCCCGAAGATATAGAGGGTGAAGGGCAAATATTCAATGCCTGCCCAGTCGGAACAGGGCTGTAATGGGCAGAAGCCGCACTAGAATGGACTCCGTCCTCTGTCCCACAAATAAAGTTTCAACTTCTGTTGTCTAGCCTTAAGGGCAGGCTTCATCAAGTTCTCACAGTGTCTGCGAGAGTGGGGTTGATGATCCTCCCCCAAACAAAATAGGCAGCACTCCTGGCCGTCCGAAAAAGGGAGTTTATGGGTACATGAGGCGCACCTTCTGAAGGGGCCTGAAGGGGACATAAAGTGGGGGAAAATATGTAAGAAAAATCGTAACTTACAGGTCCAGCGATTAAAGAGAGGCTAGCAGAATAGAAAATATGAAAAAAAAACAGTGGCAAATCAGTAGTGCAGTCCATAAACCAAAGGCAAAGTCCAAGCGGTCCGTAGTCGAGTTAAGGAGAAAATCCATGATAAAAGGGTGGGAAACCGGGAAAGGGAATAATCAACCAGTCCAAATCTAAGCTGAGGGGTAACAATAATTCAAGGAATAAGCCAAAAAATTGTAGTCAGACAGTCTGTGGTCGAATAAAGCCTAGTAGTTAGAAAAAATAGAGAGCTCTAGTGCGAGAAGTTCCTGTCGCTAAGGCGGAAAAAATGGAACTGAGGGTTCAGGCGGGCAGAGCATGCACTGTAGGGGTAACTTGCCACTAAACTTTTTCTCTAAAAGCTCTAGAAGAATCCAAGGAGTCCTGCGCAGGTGGAGTTTAACCCAGTTGTGTGCATTCACAGAGGCAACGGTGAAGAACTGGGGTATTTAAAACAAAATTTAAGGCATTTAACACACAGTTTTATAGCACCTTTATAGCACCAACAGACTAACTGGATTGTGACTTTGTATGGATTATAATCCATGCAGTCGCAAATGGCTTCTAAAACACTAAAACCAAAACTGCAGTGGAATCATGAAGATGCCACAAGATTTTGGTTATTTGTGCTGTTTTTCCCCCCTACATGCTGAAACAGATTAACACACCTATCTCTCTGAAAACTGCTGCAAATGTAGAAAAACACATATACAGAATCCAAACATAGCACTACCTCAAGATCTATAGTTTGGAAAAGATATGGGCAATCTATATACTGAGCCTGTTCCTAAGGGGTAGGAGATGGGCAGGTATCCACCTCATTTAGAAAGTTAATTTTGTATTCCCATAAAATACACACAATACATGTGCCAAATGTATCAGAACACACAATTTTCTTCATTCATATGATGTTCATCACTATATATAAGCACCTGAGAGATATACTGTAACTACTGGGACCCCTCTGAAAACAGAGTTGTTTGTACTTATATGTCTGATGGGCAGCTTGGGAGAAACCAACTAGAACTGTCAAAGCTTCAAACTGACCACAGAAAATTGTAGCACTACACTTATAGAAAGCATCTAAAAATGGAAAGTCCATCTAGTTTTCTAGTTTGTCTAAAAGGTGTCTTGCATACAGTTTGGTGAATACATCTAGGAGGTTTATAGGCAGTAGTTCACAATCCGCCTGTTTGGTGTAGTTCACTCCATGGTAAAAACTATTACACAAGCAATTCAGTTCCAGTCAGAAAAGGGTAATCTAAAGGAGCAGGCAAGGATGCAATCAATCTAATTTCCACCTTTGCCTCTCTATCTCAACTTTGCCCCTGCGTGCATGTGCAGCTCCGCACTCTCCATGCACAGGTTCCACTGCAACAAGAACCAAAGGGGGTGAACACAATCACTCTACAGGGGAAGGTGAAGTCGCACACACATGCCTTAGGGAATCTTAGCTACAATACATCAAGAGCCAACTCTAGCAATAAGCAAGTTGGTTCAAAGCAGTAAATTACTGTCCCAAAGTCAAAAACATTTCGAGTTTGCAAACCACAAAGACAGAGTAACAGCAACACAAGGAAAGTCAAGGTTGACTTTGCATTGTTTGTACATGGCTGATCAGAGAAGGGCATAGGCTAACATAAGGAAAAATTTAGTTCCTTGACTGCTAAAGGCCCAAGACCTCTTATCCAAATGAAACATTGGGCCATGGACCAAGCAAGTCATGATACTGAAGAATTGTACCTAAGGTACCTATGACTTTACCAGAGTCAAGAAAGTCACCTTACCTGTAACTGTGGTTCTTCAAGAAATAGGAGCAGTAGGAGAGTGAGCATCCTCCCCAACCACTGTGTGTTCCTGTTCCACAGAGAGCCTTAAGGACCCGGATGCTTCCCAGCAGCAGAATAAACTTTTGTAAGTACTTCTGTTGCAGTGGATCCTCCTGGTTTTGATGAGTGATTTGGCTTTTGTGTTGGGTGTTGAAGCCAGTGTGAACGATGTTTAGCGTGACCTTGGGCAGTGTCTTCACGAGCTGTGGCACGTCTTGTTGAATCATGGTTTTTAGGCTCTTTCAAAACTCAGATTCTGAAGATCAGTCCTGGAGACAGGGAGTTTGATTTGCCTTATTCAGCCCCCTCAATTCAAATGCTGAAGAGCAGCCTTGGGATTGACTTGCCTGATGTCAGCACTGGGTCTTCCTGGGTGACTGAGACCATAAAGAGAGACTGAGATGTGTGGCAGCAGCTATATTTATGTGAGGCTGATTGTGCACCAAATTCAGCAGCAGACAAAGATAGAGAAACCAAACATTC